ATATTTCGTTTCTTTACTTTGGCTAGAATCATGGCAAGAGAGTGAGGCGCTCGCACCCCAGGTACTGAGGGTTACATTAACGCCAGTCTTTTAATAAAATTTAGAAGTCATTAGATATATGCGACTCTTTCTTATGTGCAGACTTTACCAACGGTTTATGCGGCGTGCGGGCGTTTGTTGTTTTATTGAGCAAACAGATGAGCACTTCGATTGCTGACTGCTAACCCCATCAACTAGTATGAATACGCCGTAATTCTAGATACTTTTAAAAATATGATGGAGAAATTTTCACATTAACGGCCGGGTTTTTGATCCGTAGTCAAATGTCATTTCACCTTTTGTTATCTTGACCATAGTTAAAACCAGTAACCAGTAAACAGTTGTTAACCCACTTCTTCGTTTTTTGATTTCATATTAAACCACAGCCAAAGTTAACCACTGGTTAATTTGTCGCCAGCACAATGGGTCGTTTTTAACTATACATGGTTAATTTTTTTTTTTACCAATAGTTGGAATTTTGACAATTGGTTAGGCTGACTATTGACCGAAACACATATTTTTCTGACATTTAATCATTTATCGAAAATTAAAAAAAAAATGGTTGAGTTAAAAAAACCGGCCCTAAATATCATCTAATTCCGTAAATCTCCATATCACTCCGCAAAATCCTAAGCGACATCTTATTTCTCGCTTAAGTCGGCTACAAAAAACGTCATGTCAATTAATAAAATCTACTGTAAGCTGAGGCTTAACCGCTTGCTTGTTATATCATAACTAAGGACCGGCCGGGGAAAAGAACGGCTCTCCTTAAACACAGGAAGTAGGTCCCTGAAAATCTTAAACATTAAACACTTACGTTGTTTATATATATTTGTACAGGTAGGTATAAAAATCTCCATTATACTTTACCCTAACTAATTAGGTATTACATTTATATATAGACAAGTTCTAAAAGATAGAATTATCATAAAATTTTGACATATATGTTCATACCTAAACATTTTTTTTTATATGATTAATAACACAATATTTGTAAATTTTAAAGCAGTGCGAATTTTTCCGTGATAGCTAAGCTAGTTTGTTTATATCAAAACAAGGATTATATAAAAGACAGAATGTAACGATTGTTGCCCGGCAAGATAACTGTCGTGAAAATATAAATGCTATAGTGCCCATCCTTTAATAATAAAACAGACGCACTACAAAAGTAAATTTCCAAACAAACAAAATAGTCTGATTTCAAACAGACACTTGCTTATACATATAGGAGATTCTTCGTTGGCTGACTCTACATTACAACAACTACTAAAATGGCGTCTTGGTAGCTCCTTGTGGGGTAATAAATTGTTTTATTACCGCAACGTCATAATCCACGTTTAACTAACATAAATGCCCGGCTTCGCTTGCGACTAGCACTTTGTTTAGATTAAAACGCAGATATTAATTCTACGATAGCAATATTTTATGTTTAAGATGATTCCTTCTTAGATGAGAATACTGTTCTTAATGATGAATAATTCTCTTTTAATTGTAATTTTAATTAATAATAGTTAAAAGATGTTTGTCTGCATTCCATGATTAAATTTATAAATTAATTGATTAATTATAAATGCTTAATTACATTCAAGTCCATTTATTTTTACCATTTAAACTCATAGTTCGCTCTAATGAAAATATAATTAACGCCTAGTTAAATTATATAGCAAAAAATCGTATCGCATCGTTAATAATATAAACAGCGGCAGGATCTAAAAACAAGAACACGCTTAAAACGGATAGGATGGTGCAAGTACATTCCAAGATCAAAGAATGCTTCTTCGAAGTTTCAATCTCCTTAATTGGTATAATCCGTTTCACATCAAGCATCAAATCTTGTTGCTGGCAGTCGAGAGATGTGCACTCAAGACGTTTGTTTTCTTAACATGTAGGTAGGTATGTCAGCTTACAGCTATTTAAGAATAATCAACGATACTTGGAATGGCGAGCTGCAAAAAAACATTTAAAAACTTTTAAAATTTATTATGAATGTTATATAACAGCAAATAGTTGTAATAGCAATTTTTTTCATTTATCATAAAGATAAGGCTTAGTCATGAGGTATAATAATGTAGTAATATTTTATTGTAGTAAGTAGGTAGATACTTTAAGCTAACTGTACATTACGAAATAAGTTTCATTCTATAAGGTTCCAAACGTCTAGTATTACTATGTATATTTCATTTATGACACTAGAGTAGTTTCGCTCTATACCCATATTTTTGATATAACGCCTACAGGATAAGATAACGCAATAATGTAGATACTCAACATAACTTAAGACACGATTTTGTTTGGAGGTATATTAAAATTTTAATTTATTATCTAACTCACCCACTCGATACTGTGACTTAAAGGGATAAATTATTGATAAAAATCTATGCCGTTTTTTAGTTAAATCCTTTTTTTTAATTTTATCAATGACCGTAACCAGCCACTTTTAAATATTCATATATGATGTGACTTGTGCGGGACACTCGAAAATAATTGATCTGTCCTAGCATACGAAAATTTACTATACAAATTGGTAAATTGGCATGCAATGCAGAGTCAGCTGCGACGTTATTTTAAAACAGGTATTTAGAAATATGTACTTAAATAAGAGACAGATAGACAATTACAACCTCCCATAGAGAAGATACACCTTCAGTCACCCATATCGAAGAAGACGTTCCAAAACACAGACTTGGTAGATCGAACTGTCGACAAAGATGTCTGCCGATATTCCCCGATTACCGCAACTCTTGCTGACAAGTGATTTGGGTCCTCGCCGGCCGCATCCGCTCGATACCTATCGATGGTTGACGTTCTAACTATTGGTTATCTAGTAACATTTGGCTTAAACTTACTATCTTATCGATATGCCTATACAAGTGGTCCATGTGGATATGCAATTCTGACAGTTTGAAACGTGTTTCAGTAAATAATTAGGTATCCAAGGAATATACTCTAAGGAATGTACCAACTACGAAGCAGTTGATAAATATTTTGTTAACATAATTAGAAAGTTATATATTTTTTATGTATGTATGTTCACCGCTTATTCCGCCATATCTTGACTGAAATTCAAAATTCTTTTTTTATTCGACAACTTAATGGACCGATGTGGGCCCATTTAAATTTAACCGAAATCGAATCAGGAATTTTTCTTTTATAACAAAACAAAATACGATTTTCACCATATATCACCTAAATATTCAGATTGTATGTATTGTATTTCAACTCAAAAACAAAAGATTGCGTATTTTGAATTCATTTAAATCCGAAAAGGAGGATTTTCTATGTATATTTTATATATATTTTTTTTTTTACGAAAATATGTATGTTAATTAATTTTCTTTTTGGTTCGTGAACCAATTTCTATCAATATAATTGTTTCCCTGACTTTTGATGCGCAAATTATAACCTTTGTCTAACGAGTATTATGTAGCTTCCCGTAGATGAAAGACTTATAAATCGGTCCAATAGTTTCGAAGCTAATCAACAAACAAGCGATAAAATCTTTCTTATTAATAAGTAAGTACGAGTATAGAATTATTGGTAAGAATTATGTCGTTCAAGTAAACAAAATCTTCTTTTCTAAGACTATCACTATGTTGAATATTAATTTAATTAAAAAATCTACAGAAAACCTCCACACCCTTCTTCAATAGCATTCATTTTCTTGAATAAATTGCTTTTGAGGTAAGTATTTTTTATCGCTTTTTGTCTATGTCTCTACCAAGGTCAACTCTCTCTTTGTACCAAATTTCAATAAAATCGGTTGTTGTTTAGGCGTGTTAGTGTAACAGACATACGGACAGAGCTACTCCCGCATTTATAATTTTTAAAGTAGGGCTTTTTAATAATGCCTATCAGTGAACTAAACCTGCTATTGTTCGAAACTTGTATAAACATTTAAGGTCTTGTCTACAAGGGGTGAATTAATCCCGAATTCGGACGTGACTTCAGGTTCATCCCTGTAAATGTTTTATTTATTTGTAACACCCTTCCTTACCAACGAGTAATGTATAATGAAACGCGCTTAATACACGCATAGTTCAGGGTTCTAAGAGGGTTTGGTAAATGAAATAGAGCTGACGCAGTTTCGTATATCCAATTTAATTTTTGATTGATATAGTTGAATCGAATAAACATTTATAGCCAATATCGTCTTCTAAACGGTATATACTAACTGTTCGTGTGAGCTCAGTGATACAGTTTCACCATAAACCTTATCAACATTAATAAAAAATATTTACAATATTTGGAAATATCATCACAGCTTCACAAAACAAGCATAACATTGAACAACAAAACAATACATGTTATTACAACTATTGAACTAAAACTACAAAAACAAGTCGCCACAGAAACTTATGGATTTGAAGTTTCTATTCATAAATGCGTGAATACTGTAGTGTACACAGAAATATATTTCTGTGGTAGTGTACAACACCAATAAGCCATATGTCTTATCATATTAAGCATTAGAAAATGTCAATAGGTACATTATATTGCGTTGCACAATGTACATTTATCTATATCAACAAAACAATAAATCAGAACAAAAATATGTCTCATAATAAAAATTATTCTGAAGATTTTGATTTAAGAAAAAATTATGTCACTCTAATGGCATATAAAATTGGCAGTATTAAGTATTTAATTAATTACTTGGATTTATGAATTCATATTTTACATGGGTCATTTTTATGAAAAAAAAAAAAACTGTTTTGGAATGTAACACAGTGATTTCGATGAAGATACTTGGAAACTAGTACATTAGAGAATATGAAAATTAAAAACTGCAGATTTGTGACAACGAAATTGAAAGATTGATCTGACGATATCAGCAGGTGCTTTTGTAAAAACTTACGTAGAAACAAGAAGTTAAGAAAAAATAATGGATATTGTTACAATGGTGTAAATTAAAAAAGGCGAAATACTATTCGAGCATCATAATAATACTAAATGTTCACCCAAAAGCGTATTAGCACCGTGTGCATACAACCCATTAAAATGTACTTGTATTGACATTATAAATAACAAGTCACAAAATGATTTGATAACTCAATAGATAAGACACATTTCTTACGTGAACTAATATTGGGATCGGTCTGTAAAACTTACTCGTTCAAACTAACACTAACCAATCTTTGGATTGAGGAAGTTTTATTACTTAGTTATAACATAACAGAAACTGTGGAATGTGCGTAAATCTATGATACAAATCGATTTTATGGAACGATTCACTAAACTTAACTAATTTAGCGAATTTCATGTCCTACTATATGTGCAATGTAATATCAGTACTATCATTATCTACTATTTGACTTCATTAATTACATAAGAAATTTACAGGTAGTTATAACATTGAATATTATTCTAAATATTAACCTCATCTACTAAAACTACATCTAAATATAATTTAAGTGGAACTATCAATTGAGTATCCATTCGAAATTATGTTATTAACATACCAGATTATTATTTTTCATTTAAACTAATCATGTTTTTAAATAAATAAAATTGAGTCTTATATACATCCAGAAATACACATGAGATTCATACTCATTTATTTGTGTTGATAGTTTTAACAATACGATTACTAATATGTACAAAAACGAATCGAAAGATCTATTAAATAAAATTATGCAAGCAACATCTTGCTTGTGGCATTATATGTCCAATAATAAAAATATTTTTGTAACGATATCGAACGTTATGAATTTAATACTAACATGGCACTGTATACCATAAACGATTCGAATTCAGTCTTTATCTATGATATTCTGACATCACAAATTAAACTAGTTTATGACGAAAATTTGAGAATTTTTCATTTAACGTTTAAACAATACACTTTACACCATTTTTCGCTCAGCAATAGCGTGATGACCAGGATGTGAATAGTGAGATGGAGACGACGGCTCATATAGAGACATCTTCAATCGTTTGCATTTCGCCCTTCGATTTTTAAACCAGAATTGAACATTCTTCGATTCGAGTCTTGGAAACTTTTGCCTGTAAGGCATTCTGTTTAATTCTTCAGTATATTTGAGGATGAGATTATGTGATGGATGAGTGTTCATCGAGAACCACTGTTCAAGAACTGGTACTTCAGATACAGGATCTATAAAGGTACGATTCCGCTTACGACGCTCATCAGAAGCACCTGCTAGGGCTAAATTAAGACCACTAGCTCCTTCCCCAGGAACTGCACCAACACCGGGGAATCCACTCATATACTGACTCATGTACATAATACCATGTCCAAACATAGGATGATTTGGCACCATCGGGAACGGTAGACGGTCAAGATGAGGGGAAGCTGGTCTGTAATGACGTTCTTGAACAACTTCGTCGTCAGATATATCATGGTCATCGACATTACCGTTTTCTTCTTCGTTATTGTTATTATTGTTGTTGTGAGAGCTATCACTATTCTTTGCTGGTGAACGCTGTGGTGAGGTGCTCTGATCTGGTTTACTCAAATCTCGTGGCTCTTGTTTGATGTCATGTACCTGTACCAAAAAGAAAATAATGTATTAATTGATCCTTAACACAAATTAAAAATAATTTCCCTTTAAAATTTGTTTACAATGTTTACCTTAATAATATCTGGTGGTTTTGGTGATTCTTGCGCTCTATCTTCGTCGTTATTATTATTTTTCTTTGTAGTTATTAAGGAAAGTGGAGCATCTGGACTTTCCGGCCTGTCATCTGTATTCAAATCACCACCTTCTTCTTCTAAATCAGAACCTCCATTTGATAAATTATCTTCAGATATTACTGACATTGGATATCTTCCAGGGCTACCTGATATCTGCATTGGACTTTTCATAGAATTTTGATCTTGTGATATATAACTGTCATTACCAGTCATTAGAGATCCGTTAGTTGGACTATGACTTCTGCTGTTAAATCCATTAACTCCAAGGTGACATCCTAGTCCACCAATATTTCGAAGTTCAGCTCGTTTTTGAGCAGCACGAGCATTTTTAAACCAATACACGACATTGTTGACATCAAGTGGTTTACGACCTCGCCTAGATTCAAGGTTATTCAATTCGCGAACATATTGTTGTATTTGTTGGCGACTTGGATGTTGGTTTTCAGAAAACCATCGTTGTAACTTCGGCAGTTCTAGTTCTGGATCAAAACTTGTACGCATCCTTGTCTTTTGAGTCGGGTATTGACTTTGAACCGTTTGTAAAGCCGGGTGTAAATGGTCCGGTATCGCGTTTAGCGTTGGAGAGCGATTTTTAGGTCCTGGAGAGGGGTAGCGACGGGGGCTGAAGGGTGGCGGTCGCGGTGACACTTGCGCACTCCACCACGACTCAAACTTTCGTCGCATTTCTTCAGAAGGCTCGTGAAAATTGTGAGGACCGGGAGTCCTATCTTGCCCTCTGCATATCTGAGATAACGTCATCTGTAACAATAAAATCATATTTTCAATTCACAGTTATCTCCATCGGCCATATGAACAAAAATTTAATGAACAAATTTTAGCTTAAAAGAGGTCAGTCTAACGAGCAACAGATACATAAGTAATTGCTAGAGTAAACTCGGGGTATTGTTTCACAGAACATCGCCATTAGATTATGAAAATATAAGGTGGGTTGTTAATGCATGTGTCATGCACAAGCGGCTATGGTTCTGACGAGCATAGCTATTTGCTCGGTGGTTAGTGCGTATCACTTTCGAACTGCCGAAACTTCAATCATAGCATGCTCTAAAACAATAAGCGGGAAGGGCGTTTCAATAATTAGCATCCTCCTACGGTGCTCTCAACAAGCCTTAGCGTACCAATATGAACTAAGTGGTTCTACTTAAACGTTACGGTGTTAACGCATTAGAGACACCGCTGCTCCTATATATTTAGTCAACGAATAAACTCAGCTCTAAAATAATTCCATTACATGTTTGAATTTCACAACTATTTATTCAGACGATAACGTGTTTAGATTGGTTTTAATAGAGCAACAAGTAGTCATTCAAAGAACTAGTCGGATTATAGCTTCGCGTCGGAGTTTACCTAGGTTGACGTTATGCAAGTAAAATCTGCCCATATCACTAGATTACACAGAACAATGCCAGCGATTACGACGTCAAGCGAGTTGTCAGGGCGCAGTTTACGTTTCAACTGTTGCTAAATCAAATGTTAAATTGTATGTGTGTTACACATCGAGATTGTGCCTATAAATCATGTCAACCGTGGAGAATTAGCGCCGTGTACCAGTGATACGCTAATCTGCCTCTTTGCTTTATACTTTTAAATAGTGAGGCCATATTTACATTCAGATATTGTCTGTTTTAAATGCGGGAAAGATTTACGAGATCTGGCGTCTGCTAGTGATAACTCGTGTCACTCTAATCCATATAAACACGTAAGTAGTAAGGTGTGTATTGCGAACATTACTTGATACTGATGTAGTAGAAAGGACAACGTGGAGCATAATGGGCTTAGCTTATCATATATTGTTTTCGTAGCAAAATACAAACAATATTCTCATTGATAAGTCTTCGTTAGTTTGAAACAATTTTGGCGTAATCTGGAAGATACTTTTTAATAAAAATTGGTTTGTGTTTAAGAAGATTTATAGCAGCTACAAAATTAATCCTTCCAATAACCTGTCTTTTTAAAAACCCCTTCGAAAAAGTGTATTCGAAGTGTTCAAAAGTTTCCACGAAGTTGAAATCGGAGTGGCGCAAATTGGCATGCAATAAATTACCATAATATCGCAGAGCCGAGTTCATCTGCTGTTTAGCTACTAACTTCGTTGTTCGAGGTGTTTGATTATCTTGCCCGGTCGCAAGTTCCTTTGGTTCATTTGCAATTTTGAACTTACGGCAAGTTGAATTTGTGCGTTCAACGCTTTCGACTTCATTGTTACGTAGCGATAGAGTTGTCAAATTCTGTTAGTAAAACTCCTTACATTAGTGGCCCACTTAAATGTCAATGGTGATTCTAAATTGAAATCGCGAACCCGACAGGCGGTTAAGCTTCGAAGGGCGCGTCGAGCGCTAACCTCGCGTTTAATAAGATTATAAAGCATTATTTTATGGTATTAATAAGATCAAAAGCGTTCGTACATCTAAAACTCCTTTTAACCCTCTTTCGAGGCTCAAGTTGGCAAGACGAGGGCTACCCCCCGCCCGCCCTAACCCGTTCGTAGCGTGGATATTTAGAAAATATAATAAGGCCTCGCGAGGCGTGGATGAGTCTGCGATTCAATTAAATTTATTATGTATGGAGATCCTGCGTGTGAGGCAGGTGCTCGGAAAGAGCTCGACTAATTGCTGTATCTATCTCAAAGATGGAGATTTAAGGGCCTTATGAGTTAAATTTATATAAACGTTCCTTAAGCACACAAATTAATTTGGGTATCATTGTAACAAATTGAGACACTATTTTATCGTTTCTATTTCAAATTACGTTCAAATTAACGAACAACCTTTTGTTGGTTAGGTGAAAAAATATATACTGTACTTGGTATTTATTTTTATTTCTTGTTTAATACAGGTAAATAACAAAATCTCATTCAGTTACGAGGTCTCATATGAAAGATGCCAATTAAGAAAGATTATTTTTGTAAAACATTGTAAGAAACAACACCCTTACAGCAGCATTAAGACATGGAAATTTCTATTAACAGTCGTTCCTTTTGTTAAGACGCGGAACAGCCGCGAACATCAAAACAAATGCTTCCTTAATTCTTCCCCTCGCGATGATCCTTATTAGCAGGGACTTAGGCGTAACCTCGCAAATTATAACGACCTCCCAAATTGTATGAGAACGTTCGTCTACTTAACGAGTTTTATAATCTGTCTCCGTAGAGCTTGGCCCAATGATAGAAGATACATTAATGTGACTCAAATGAACTTTGGTATTAATATTTGAATTTCTGCGTTCGAAATATTAAGTCTTATAGCATCTTGAATCTCTATTAAATTTGTTTGCTTTTTTTTATAATCTACTTTATAGCTGTAATATCCACTTGATAGATAAATGCGAACGAGGAACTGTGTAATAAAAAAACGAATACAAAAACTATTTAATAATAAATCAAAGCGCAAGTATGGGAAACGATAATACAATAATAGAATTAAAAACAAAGATTAAAACCAAAAAGAACAAATATAAAAGAGTGATAAATAAACTTATCAAAAAGGGTGGTGTCTTTCCAGCCAGTCATCAACAACAGTTGGAAATAAAAGAGAGAAAGGCAGACATAACTGCACGAAGAATCGAAAGAGATTCGAAAGAATAATAAATTTTGGGTTCTTTTATTAACTGATATAAATAAATCATCACAAGGTTTAGAATATCGAACGGCATCAATCAATATCAACGGTACATTAAAACTTTTTATTAATAATAACACATTAACAGAATCATATTGAAGCTCGGTATAAATCACTAAAACATTTGAAACGCAAAACACAACAGCAGTATGTAGCTATAACAACAAAATAAATTTTGAATAGAGAACACAGATATAGCGGGCGGTTTAAATATGGAAAACAATGAGTTCCACGTTAATAAGGGGGTAAAGGTTTAGACCGTAGACTATTGTGACACCGCCGGGGTTACAGAGCATTAAAGAACATCAGACTGCCGCACAGAACATTGTCGACGTTGGTTTAGCTCGGTGTACCGTAAGTGTTTTGTCGAAACATGAATTTGGATGATATTAATGCCGTCACGGTTCAAGTAATTCGATTTGACAGGTGGTTTTGAATGAGTCTGGTAGGTTCACCGATGAATATTGAAATCAAAGCTTTTAGTAATTAATCACGTACTTTAGATATATGTTGATAAATGCGAAAATTATGTTCGTGTCGAATAGTTTTCCACATTATTAGTGCATCATGTAGTTTATAACTCATTAGTCCATCCCATTCATTGCAAAACATGATAAGATTCAAAATCGAGACAACGATTAAATAGAAATCTCTTTAGTAAATTAATATTGAAAATGTTTATCGATTACTGAAATATTTTAAATAATCCATCCAAGCAAAATGTAGTTTTCTTGCGTACTTATATACCTTGTGTTTTACCGGTGAAATAGATATCTTAAAAATGCAATAGAAAAAGTAGATCATTTTTATCTTCTTATTTAGAAAATACAAACTGACGAGCAAAACTTCCGGGTCCCTTACAAAAACATTGATATTTCCAAATAACAGCCCATCGAATTAAGTTGTAAGTAAAACATAATTCATAATACAGTAAATTAAACTCGTTTTAATTCATATACATTTTAATTTGATTTAAACCTTGCATACTATCAGAATATTGGAAGTTTCATCAATAACTAGCACTTATGATCGATAGATTTATTACCCATTGTTACGGGTCTCTGGTTGTTGATATTTAATATAGTTTTTATTATATATTGGAGGATATAAAGTTTCGGTGGTGAGGATTGGTTGGTGCTGGTGGGCAAGATTTGATGCCGGTTGTGCATATTTATTTACAGATGGGCGAGCGATGCACAGATACTTGCAGGAAAAGGCCGGGTATGGTAGAATTTGTACCATCGCTCACGCAATTCTGGAATTGGAGAGTCTGGCAGTATTCCGCGAAGCGTGTGAAGACCCTAAAAAGTTCCTGCCCTGCGATTCTATAAAAATCCAAACCCGCATTCAAATTCACTCAGGTATCCGAATTCAATTCGTGTCATAAGTGAAGTGAGTTTCAAAATGACATAGGAATATAGGTAGAATATCTGAGAATCAGTAGAATTTCGAATGAGTGAATTCGAATTCAGACCTGGATTTTTATAAAATCGCAGGGCTGTACTTCTGGGCTGAATTGGATTAGCTGGAGTAAGACAGTTTACTTTTCATGCCCCAATTTAGCCCCTTAATCTAACAACTTTTTCAATATCTTTATTTATAATTATGCTTCTTACCTCATCCAGCGGACATCCAGTAGACATGAGTAATGGCCGATTCTGGACAAGGAGCAGCCTCAGCAACTTGTCCTTGATGTCTTGTAACGGTGTGAGTCTTGGTCTTAACAACTGAATGCGTAAAGTCGCCACGGTAGTCAACTCTCCTAGCACCTCACCGACTGTCGCCAAAGGTCCTTCAGAGATCCTCTCAAATGACAACGGCTTCCAATTGTTGATCACCACTGAACCTGACAAAATACCTTAAGACTATACTTACACGAATTTACATTTCAAATAAGAATTCTAATATAGTCTATTTTAACCCAGTGTTCATGCTTTTTTTTAATTTTTAATGGTATTTTTCATATCGTCAGTAGTTTGTCAGCATAAGGCTATTAACGTCCTTTATCTATCAGTAATGATTCATTAAATGGGATACGAATTGTGGGTGGATAGAAATATCTTCACCTCATGATCTTTCCAGATTTTCTTTTCTTCTCGTAAGTTAAAATGTCTCACCTTTTGCAGAAGCAGCTAACTCTTGGGGATAACCAAGCCGCAACATGGCGGCTGGCACCAAGTCGTGAAAGGCAGTCGTTGAGGGTATGATGACGTAGCTGTCTGTCTCGACCAGAGCACGACGCCTCCACACGCCTTCTTCGAGTGATGACACCGCTTCAACCACGCAATGTACAGGCAAAGTTTTACCTGTAACAATCAAGTTTTTGTAGCGAAAATTTATCTTATTTAATATCCTATTTAATAAAATTTATCCTAGTTATTATTTCAAACTATGTAAATACATACTAAAGATGAAACTATGAAATTTGTGTAAGATCAAAATATAATATTGCTGGAAAGATCGTAGTAGGGACCATCTCAAATAATAATGATGGTCTTTTCATACAAATTTTTATACCCACACAAAACGGTTTCTTAATCCAAAAATCAAGGATTCTTTAAAATATGAAAATACATTATTATGAAACATACAACCATACAAACTTTCAACCCCTATTTTACCCCCTACGGGTTGAATTTCCTTGTCGTCACTTTGGAGTACATAATGGATTCCAATGTCAATTTTGACATTTCTACACTTGGTAATTTGGCCTATGAGTTGATCTTCAGCCAGCTTTCATTTACACAGTAGAAATAAAAAATAGAAAAACAATTTAATTACAATTTACCATCTAATACTGGGGCTTAGGCCTTCCCTAGATATGGAATCAAAACAAATCGAATAAGAAGAATGGGCCATAGCCCACCACGCGACTGCAGATGTAACCGGGACCAACGGCTTAACTTGCCTTTCGAAGCACGGAGGACCTCGAGATAATAAATTTTTGGTCACCCATACTATGATCGGCCATAACGAAAGTATCGCAGACCGAGCGCACTAACCACTGCGCCATCGAACTCCTCATATTTTTTATTTTATTTAATTATAAATACTAAAAAGACATAGCATAATGTCTCAGTTTTAACGGCACAAGAATAACTCTTCGTAATATAAATCGGACTCCGTCGGCGGCCATAAGTTAAGAGCTTAAATAGAACGGAAAAACTTTGGCGCAAAAATCAGTCACTTAAGCCGTAGACGTTTGAAATGCTGTCGTTAAGGAGGCGTCTTAATTATTTAGTACCTTTTCAGGCGAGAGAGGAACGCTTTTGACTTGCTCACGGGCCGGCAAAAAACCGACTGAAACGTTAAAATAATAATTAATCCTTTCTGCGTGTCTTGGGCGCGTCCGACGAGAGATCTCTTTGTCGAGCGATGCTTTTACCGTACTTCTTTGAGGGAAATCTTTAGCGCGAAATTAAATAGTTTCTGCCGTCTTGCATTACTTTTTTTTTAACGCAAAGTGCCGCGTCTAGATGCCTTATTGGACTTTTAGGGCCGCTTTTTAGAATCGCGAATTTTTCATATTTAATACTGCAACTGTCTGAAAGGAAATGCTTTTTAATTTTGTGCACGCTAGGAGCCTTTACTATGCATAACTGAAATTAATGAAAAATTTAACTACTATACAGTGCTTTCATATCGATATTTATGCACCGAAAAAAAATACTAGAAAAAACACGACTGTCGAAAACATAAAAGACACAAGTTGTGTAATAGTCTGGCTAAACAAAATTCTCATTGGAGTTCGAAAGTTATGGTGAAGTAATGAAACATACCTAGTTACTCCTTTTTAGGGGAGTCATGTAATATATGTTTGTTTCTGGCATTAGGGATTCCAATCTCATCGTTTCCTTAATGTAACAATTCGATAATACCCAAATAATTAAGATAAAAAGGTTTTGGTACGTCATTAGAGAATATATCGATTTTTACATCATCGCTTTTCTGCTGAATCGATTCTACCGAAAGGCTCCGATTCAAATTGATTTGCAAGATTGATTTTTTTGCTAAAGATCGGAAACTCTATCTGACATAGTCAATTTAATTTTACACTCTTTATAAGTTCTCTTAAATTTTACACTATTTAAGTACAAAATGATTCAGATTACTCTACTTATTAAACACTCAGTACATATCTAATACAATTATTAATATAAATATTCGATATTCTCTCTCTGATTTACGATATCAATTGAAACAATAGCCTTCTTCGAGCCGGGCAGTTATTGAATTTGCATAATACTATCCAGAAATTCGGTTCACAAAGCAGTCTGTTGGTCGGGGAAAATTATAAATTTCACCATACAGTAATCCCCTCGTAATACCACCATAGATGTGTTATGTGCATTGTTCTATGACAACACCACAGAGTTGCTTTTATTAAAATAAAAAAATTGCATACCGTTTCTTTATTGATTAGGTTCTAATATCAATTAAAACAAAATAAAGCAAGATAATGGAGTACGAGTAATATTGTCATACCTGTATGTTATATCATAATTACCTACAATCTATAGAAATATTATAAAGAGGTTAAGTTTTTTACTTTGTTTGATCATGATTTTTTTTCTTCTATAGGAAGCCACATCATACGAGGTTGACATAGGCTATAATTTACACAGGCGAAGTTACGGAAAAACAGTTATTTATTTAATATTTCTTTTGCAAATTTTATATAACAACTAACAACATAAAATAATTATTATTTGTCTAGTCATTTTGACGTGTACTATTTATTAGTTACATAGTCATAATTTAACATTATTTCGGCAAACAGCTATCAGCAATTTATATTATTTTTAATCACCCTAAAAAATAATAGGATCTCTTTTTTTCGATGCCTTAAACACAATTTTACAGACAAAACAAAACGCAAACGTGCTTAATATACTTCCTGAAAATCACCTGAAAACTCACGTAGTTTTAATCGTTTAAGTAACTTTCAAAAGTAGTTGGCAAGTTGTCCGGGTGGGGTATGGGTGGGTTAGCACCACCTATGGTTTAATATGGACTTGGATTAGTTAGGTTTAGTTAAGGTTTAGTTGGAACGGCGGTCCGGACCGTCCTTTGGTCAGTTAAATCCCCGTTATGAAACCGGAGTTTAATAAGCAATCTGTATAGGTAGGTGATTCAATTTATATAATTTATTGCAGCAACAGATATTGTTCGGGTCGAGAAGCTTTTTATAATTCTCTCAGTCGGTTAATTTAAATGAAACAATCTGAAAATATTTGAAAGAAATTTGTATTTTACTACGAGACTTATGCCCGTTTTCACTAAACTTAAGAGTCGCCCAAATTTGCCGCCTAAATATTTAGGAAGTGACTAAAGTAAAAATGCATTTCCCCATTGACTAGAAACCGCCTAACGAAATTAAGAAATGAGTAAAGTTATGATATTCGTTATGCGGCGCCTTGCGCTGGGCATTTGCATATATCATAAACATGTCAAGGGATAAAAGAAAATAAATAATTATTTCTTGAAATATTTTTGAAATGATAATCCAAAGTATTATGCGGGTGTAATATTCTGATGGCAAATATATACGTACTAATAATATTATTATAATAAACATAGAAGCGCTTTAGCAAACTTGGAGATGTTAGTTCACAAATCTGTTTAGTGCACCTGCTAAGAGTATACGAAGCTGCGGCTTGTATTAAAATTACCCTTAGAACGATACCTAGGCTGTTGTGGTCCAAAATGTAAGTTTTAGCGTGTAATAAAAAATGCAATATATATAAGAAATACTCTTCCAACTACCAAACAATAACATGTTTGATAGAATAGTTATCGCAATGGCTCATGCTGAACAGAAATTAGCACCACTTTCCTCTGATTATAGCTAAAAGAGATGCGAGACATTTGTCATAAAAGAATATCGACATTTTCATAAAATAAAGCTATCATTGTTGGAACACTTTTGGTAAGCATGATGCTGAATGGGTGAAACAATGGAACCGAAAGATTAAAAAATAAATTGGTACTTTACGAGTGAAATGATAATTGCTATTATAACTGAAATAAGCAGGATCTCTATAAAGTGGAATAAATAAAATAAATTGAAATTGAAGAAATCTTTATTGTTTTCTCATAACAAACACATACTCATAGACAAACACATATTTGAAACATATATCTCGTACAGGTTATATTTTTGTTACAAATCAAAAGGGCACAAATAAATACCTATTATATAACATCACATACATTGTTTAGACCTCAAACGAAGTAGTTAAATCACTTGTGGTATGTAAATCTAAAATAACGAAGGTATCACAACATCCAGAACCAATATAGAAGTCAATTTATACATATATTGAGGTGACTACACCATGAAACCGATGTACGTATCACTCATTCGTGGAGATGGTCAATATGTATGTACGTAAATTTAAAATTAAAAGTATTAAAACAAAACTTTTGACTGTTCCACTAAAAACACACTAAGCAATAGAAATCTAAATAGTTGAAATATTAATTTACTTTTGAAAAATATAATGAATAAAACCTCGGGTCGCTCATGTCTTATACCACAATAAAACATACATGGACGCAAATCTGTGCATTCGCGGGGTCTTAGTCGCGAATCCGGTGAGTATAAAATTTTAATCGTTTCGCAAATTATGTGTCTTCGCTTAACCTCTGTTTGAGAGGATGATACAATTTCCTATTTTTAAGAACAATATCAACAATAATGCAACTGGGTTAAATTCTTTTCAAATAATAATTTATTGCACTAAGCATATTTGAGGGATATTTTCCTTGTAATTTACCACACACGTTTAGTGGATAGGTGTAGAAAGTGATGTTTGTAAATTATAAATAGTCGTGAGTGTATATTTCGATGATATCTGGACTCCAAATATTCAAATTTATTGCTTTTTTATAGATAAACGAGTTTTTAAGTTCTTAATTATTTTTTTTAATTTTCCGTGGAGCGCTCGTCTTAAATACGAGTTCATTATATTCATACATCCTTTAATGTTTAGTTTTGCGATATTCAAACACTCCTAACCGAGACAGAATAGAAAATCTCACGAGTGCCGTAAATTGGGTATAACTTCCGTTAATTAGTGCACAACATAGAATAGCAATTAGATCGAGTAGAAGATGCCGCTTTCGAAGCCTTAATCTGGTGCGCATGGAGGGGGGGGAGGGATGAGGAGATGGTCTTCTTGTGAAATAAATCACGTAAGAATAAAGTGATAATATTGAAAGAAGTATCGTAGGTATTTTCAAATTATTTTTAGTTTTAAACAAACTTGATGGTGATGTCAGAAGCCATAAAAACTGGTGAGTATGTATGAAAAGAGTCATGAAAGTGGATAAGGGGAAGATGTAAGTAAGAACTGTACATTATGGCGTTTGGTCCTCTCTGCTTCCCCGCAAGGAATACCGTGTGAAGATATAAGTATGTAAACAAACTTGGATGTGTTCACTAGGTAAATAAAAATATT